TTTGATTCAAACTATGTTTAGTTCATGTTTTATTGGTGTAATTGCCCATTCAAACTATGTTTAGTTCATGTTTTATTGGTGTAATTGCCCATGTTCAGAGCATTATATCAGGTCAAGCAGTACAGCAATTATCACGGAGCCATTTCTTAAAAAAGAAAAGAGTGTTGGAGTGGTGAAAAGATTGGAGACTGTTGACAAATTTGAATATCTGCTTGAAGCCAGACCAATAATTTTTAACCTCTTTCACCTCCCAGTAATTGACTTAGCTTCCATTTACATACTTTAGTGACTTGATTTGTATCGCTTTCCTTTCTTGAAAAGTTGCCTGAAGCATCGTGATAAAGTTGAGAGAGAGCTGGGTTATGATTAAGTTCCTAATTGATTCCAGTTTCACTGCCTTTCAGTTGAGTGTGATCATGGTCAAGACTCCATCTCTCAGTCTTTCAGCTTCTGAGCAGACATAATACAACCTGTTTTCTCTCCGAATTAGTCTCAGGAATGAAATACATTGATGGGAAAGAAATGTCAAAGGGGGTGGGGACTGGGGGAGGTAAACAGTCCTCGGGACCCCTAGGGGTCCCACTGGTGATTCTCAGCCAGCCAGGCCAGTGGTTCAATTCAAGGGCCTGAGTATGGTAGGATTCTTGTGCCCTGGTGTTGGGGATTACCTGGGCCACCCTAGTGATGCTCAGTCACCTCCAGGGTCGCACCTGGTGATGCTTGTGGGGATCATGTGGTGTTGGGGGATTAAACCCTAGGTTGGGGGAATGACAAGCCTGTGCCCTTACCACTGTATTATCTCCCAGCCCCTCATGATTTTTAATGGTCTTAGTTCTTAAAGAGTAGAAATTAAAAGAAGGAAGTGAAAAACACAGGAGATTCTCATTTTAGAACATTAATAATTGATCTTTCTGAAAATTTAGGGTTTATCAGCAGACAGTAAGGATATGTAGCTCTTGAAAAATCAGATGTCACAAAAATTTGTAAGTCTGCAACTGTACCTCATGGTGTTTCACTAATAAAAATTAAAAAAAAAAAAAAAGAAAGAAAATAATCAGATGCCTGGAGCTGGAGAGATAGTCCAGGGCTTAAGGTCTTGCCTTGCATTCAGATGACCCTGATTTGGTCCTTGATAGCACACGGTCCTCTGAAGATCACAGGAGTTCCTACCCCCCCTCCTAACCCCTGGAATGAAGCGAAGATCACCCCTGAGCACCACCAGGTAGACCCAGGATATCAGTATAGTGCTGGCTTTGTAGAATGAATTAAGAATTTTTCTTCTTTAGCTTTCTGTGCGTTTTAATAAAATGGGTACTTTTTCAACTCTGGGATGCCCGGGGACGGGGTTGGGAGCATGAGCTTAGTTCCTGCTGTACCCACATCCCACAGCTGCTGCCTTACTGCTTCACTACTCATCTCTGCAGCCACACCAAGCCAATGAAAATTCCAGGTACATGAAGCTAAGAACTCTGGGGTTTTCTTGGAGTTGGGGTGGGCAACCTCTCCCACCCCATAAATCCTGAAGCCCCAGCAGCCATATCCACAATAAACAGCAGCCCAGCTTTGCCACTAATCTCAGAAGAGATGCACACCAAGCCACTGAAATTTAAGGGCCAGTTTTACAGATCCTGGAGCTCCTGAAGTGACACTTCCAAGTTCTACAATCCTGAAAGCCCAGTAGGAGGAGGACACCAAATTAGAAGGGAAAGAAGCATAGGTCCAGAGAGCAGTGCAGTGGCTAAGGCTCTTGCCTTCCACACAGCCGACCTGGGTGTGATCCCTGGCAGTGTGTATTGTCCTCTGAGCTTTTCAGGAGTGATTTCTGTGTGCAGAGCCAGGAGGAATCCCTGAGCACCACCAGCTGTGACCCCAAAGCAAAAAATAATAAAAAACAAAAGAAAATAGTATACTAGATTAGCTCAATAAACAAAAACAGTATCACAGAAGGCTCCACTAGCAGTAGATCTTAGTAAATCTGCAGACCGTAATTTTATTGACCCCATGGCAAGATATAACGGTAGCATGGTAGCATGGTCCTCCCGTCGTTCATGGATTTGCTTGAGCAGGCCCAGTAACATCTCCATCGTGAGACTTCTTGTTACTGTGTTTGGCATATCGAATACGTTACAGGTAGCTTGCCAGGCTTTGCTGTGTGGACGAGATACTCTCGGTAGCTTGCTGGGCTCTCCGAGAGGGGCAGAGGAATAGAACCCGGCTTAGCCGGGCCGGCTGCATGTAAGACAAACGCCCTACCGCTGTACTATCGCTCCAGCCCCACAATTTTTCTTTCACTGAAGTAGTTTTTGAAAATTTCATTAGTTATTTAGTTGTAGCAAGCAATATAAAGGTAAAGGTAAGGTAAAGGCCCTCCCGTTGATCGTCGATTTGCTCGAGCGGGCCCAGTGTCACAGCGGGTAGGGCGTTCGCCTTACAAGCGGCCAACATGGCTGACCCGAGTTCGATTCCTCCGCCCCTCTCGGAGAGCCCGGCAAGCTACCGAGAGTATTCGATATGCCAGACACAGTAACAACAAAGTCTCCAATGGAGACGTTACTGGGCCCGCTAGAGCAAGCAATATAAAATATATATTATTTTGTGCCTGCTAAGATGCCAGGCTTGGGGGATAAGTGGGAAACTGGGGACAGTGGTATAGGGAGGTCACACTGGTGTGGGATTGGTATTGGAACATTGAATGCCCGAAACAGCTGTATTATGAACAACTTTGTAAGCCACAATGTTTAAGTAAAGTTAATTAAAATTGGGATTATGCGTAATCGCAAAATAAATAAGCAATGGGCAGCAGTGATGGTGCTCTCTTTCCCCTTCACGTGCGTTCTGTGGCCATGAGCCGCTTCCCCATCCTGGCCTGTAGCTGTCACCAACAGACAATTCAATATTCCAACACCAATCCCACCACTACTAGTGTATAGCAGTTTTTAAAATTGAGTGTAAACTATAGACTTCCCACATGTCCCCTGTATCTATACAAACAACCAAGGATCATCCTCATCACCCCAGATCCATAGTTTACAAAATATTATAGCTATTTTAAAACCTTCATCTTCATCTCTTCTGATATTGCCCATGATATTCTAATTCTTGGGTCATATTTTATTATAGCTCTGATTTTTTAAAATTATATTTTATCATTGTGAATTTTATTTTATAAATTTTTTTATTGAATCACCATGAGACACAGTTACTAAGATTTCATGTTTGAGTTTCAGTCATACAATGATCAAACACCAAAAACAGCTGTGCCCTTCACCAGTGTACATTTTTCCACCACCAAAATCTCCAGTACTGCCCCCCCATCCCAACCATTCCCCTGCCTGTGTAGCAGACAATTGACAATTTCCACAATACTGTCTCTCTACTTTGATTACATTCAATATTTCTACACCAGTCCCACCATTATTTGGAATTTTCCCGTCACCACTCAAACCTGCCGAAAAAAGCAATGCTAGACAATTTGTTTTGTGTTGCTTATTATAAATAGCATATGATGTTTGCGCGGCTGTTCCTGTGGCCACAGACTCTTGGAATTCTAAAATTTTATGATTAGGGTCTGGAGATATCTCTGCAGTGATTCTTTCATGTGTCTCTGGATCATGGCGATTAAGGAGCTTAATAAGTAGCTGGGGGCAGTTTGTGGGCGTAACATCCAGGCCCATTGGGGCGGGGGCAGGGGGAGGGAGGTTGGGGGGAGAGAGGGACTAGCTCCTCTCCTATCCCGTTACACCTGGCGTTTGCCATTACTGCTCCTGCATAACTGGGCCTTGAATTCTGGACGATGGCAGCTGTGAATTTTTTTGTTTGTTGTATTATCTTGAAGAATGTGGGAATTTTTCTGGAATGTTGGAATGTTATGTATGTTAGATTAGATTATTTGCAGTGGTTTGATTCTTTCATGGCTTAATTTTAAAGTAGTTTCAGGGTGAATCTACAGTGTTCTGCTCAAGGATTAATTTAGCCTTATTTCAAAGGTCATACACTTCAGGGGTCACTGTTAGCTCCCCCTCACATTCAGTGAAATTTCTCCATTTTGGATAGCGAGAACTTCTAGTAATTTATTACCCTCTAAGAGCTCTAATCATTGTTTATCCTGTGGCTTCCCAGTAATTTTCTCTTTCTAGAGGTCGAATTTCTTTTCTCTTGATATCTTGGCATGTGTACATACTGTGTTCAGTTGATAATTCAGTGAGTCTTGTGCATTTTGGGGATCTCTTTATCGAATTACCTCAGTTACCCTTCCTTCCACCAATTCCAGCTATCCTGATCTCAAATGCAGGCTGGCATTTCAGTCAGCAGTGTTGCCAGATGCTATGGGGTTTACTCTTTTCCGTACCACTGTCTGAAAATTACCTCCAAGTAATTTTAACTAAAACTGAGGTGCTCTCTAACCCTTAGAAATGGTTGTTTCAAGGCTATGGATGTGTGTGTAGCTCAATCTTATAAAGTGCATGCCTTTTGGGGTCCTGGGTTTGATCCCTGCAAGTTAAAAAAAAAAAGAGGAGGAAAAGAAATAGTTGCTTCATTTCTAGTTGTTTAGATAGAAAGGTAATTTCAGATCTTCTTTCTTCTTCATTCAAAATGGAAACCTGTCTTTAAACATTGACTTTTTATATACAGACTAAGAATTTTTATTAAAAGGCAGCTTCATTTCAGGACATATGAAAAAAAAAGTTTAGAAGATAGCAATGATGAATGTAATTGAGGCCCCAGACTTCAAATTCTACCCAGGTACTTTCTTGTATTCACAAAAGCTTCTGTACCTTTGATTGTGATATGTTATGATCTGGGTTCCAAATTGGGCACCTCACTTTAAGGAGACAGTTTTTAAGTGCCAATTTTGCACATGAAAATGCCTTCTTTAATTTCCTTTTCTAGATGCCATGATTTACTTTAGACTTTGCCAGAGTTAGCCAGACAAAGATCATTTTTACTACCCAGGATACTAGGCCCAAACCATTGCTAACTGGACCTCCTATTTCCTTTAGGTATGAGATTTTTCTCAGGGCTGGAACAGTAGCACAGCAGGTAGGGCATTTGCCTTGCACATGGCCAACCTGGGTTTGATTCTTCTGTCCCTCTCCGAGAGCCTGGCAAGCTACCGAGAGTATCCTGCCTGCACAGCAAAGCCTGGTATGCTACCCGTGACATGTTTTGATATGCCAAAAACAGTAACAGCAAGTCTCACAAGGAAGATGTTACTGGTGCCCACTCGAGCAAATCGATGAATAACTGGAGGACAGTGCAACAGTGCAGTGCTACCTGAGATTTTTCTCTAGGGATCTGAGAGCTTATTGATAGTTGAGACTGTTCAATTCCTAACATCAGTCTATATGCCAAATGCAATGTCTGTGACTCTACTCTTTGGAATCCTTGGTTCCACTACAATAATGTTCAGTCTCTAGTTTGTGTCACAGCAAGACAGTTGTGTGCTTAACTAAAGTGTCTAACTCCCAGTGAGTACTATCACTAGAGCACATGAGAGTGCATCCAGGTGTGTGTACAAGCTCTCAAACCAACCCAGTCAACACAACAGAAGTGGGGAGACACTTTTGTTTCAGATTTTATAGCTAAATTTCAATTTATTTTCACTTGTTTTGGGGAAGGAATAAAGTATGAGCTAAGAAGTGAGTTTCTTAGTATTGACTGAGAAATGGAAAGGAGAGAGTATCTGAAGTAGCAAGTACTATTCCACAGAAGCAAGCAATGCATACTGAAGTATGGCTTTTTTTTTCAGGTTTAGGCTCTCTTGGCCCTAGAAATAAGTAGTTCTCTGCACCCAGGTTAGAGAGTATTAATTTCATGCATACTACTGTCCAGTGAGTCCAAAGTAAGCCTGACTTTGCTCCAGAAATGAATCTAGATTTCTACTAGGAGAATTTTTAATATGGTACAGGAACACATAGGTTCTGGTGATGGGAAAAACAAAGATTTTAATCTCATGTAGTGAGCTGTTTTTTGTTTTTGTTTTTTCCTGTTTGGTTTTGACTCTATTTGTAGCTTGCTGTAGGGCTTAGGCTAGAATGATAAATCCTTTTGGTTCCTCTTATTAGAATATTCAAGGAGACCAGGAACAGTGGTAGGTGAAATAAAAAAAAAAAACAGCGGGGCGCTGGAGGGATAGCACAGCGGGTAAGGAGTTTCCTTGCACGTGGCTGACCCGGGTTCAATTCCCAGCATCCTATATGGTCCCTTGAGCACCGCCAGAAGTAACTCCTGAGTGCAGAGCCAGGAGTAACCCCTGTGCATCACTGGGTGTGACCCAAAACAGCCAAAAAAAAAAAAAGCTCAGTGGAAGATGGCCAGAGAAATACTCAAGTGGATAAAGCACTTCCCTTGAATGACAGAATCCCAGGTCTGACCCCCCAGCAGCTACCCCAGTGCACTGTGCCGGGAGTAACTCTAGAGTCCTGTCAAGTGTTGCCTGACTCCCCACAAACAAACAAACAAAAACAAGCAGGGGTGCTCCTCCCCCTAGGCTCCCCTTCTCTAGACATTCCTGTTTGTTCCCAAACACTCTGGGCACATACTTTGCTTAGGGTTGTTGAACTTTTCCACCTTAGAACAGGAATCATGGGAGCCTCTGGAGAACAGAAGGCAAAGTCAAGAACAACAATAAAAACCACTAACCTAAGAAATCATAGATGATCTCACTCAGCAGTAGACATGAAGGAAGATACTAACAGTAGCACAGTAGTAAAAAACTAGAACATTCCTCGATCACTGCTAGATAGGTGAAGTAGATAAAAAAAAATTAACGAGAAGAGGAGGTGGGTCTAGCAAACATATAGGCCCCTGCATCCCCTAAAAGTTGAATGCACATTTTTCTTCAGTGTACTTTCTCCGTGATAGGACCACATGCTGAGTCACAAAACATCACCATAAAATAAAGAGGATAGGATCATTCTGGGTGAGTTACCTTTTCGTTAGTATGTATTGTGGGGAATACAAACTAATTTAATGCAAGCCCAGTATAAGTTTAATTAGGGAGTTCAGTCGTCAGAACATAGATCACAATGCTTGAGAAATGAGTGTGCTATTTCAGTACCTTTGAAGTTATTCAGATTACTCCCTTATTTGAACGAATCAGCAAGACAACCCCTTTGGCTGATGTGGATATTCATTAAATATTCATACAAGAGCCTGCTATTGCCAGACACTGTTCTACAATAATGTACAACAGTAAACAGAATAGACAAAATTTCCTGTCTTTGTGGAGGTTACATTCTCATGAAGGAAGGCAGTAAGGAACAGGGGGGAAATAGATATCAGAGAGTACTATAGAGGGAAATTAAGGACGGGAAGGAAAATGATGAATTGAGTGGTTTGGGGGTTGAAGGGCAGAGCAGGTAGGAAGAGAGAATTGGGAGGCCTGGAGCAGTGGCTGCAGCAATAACCTCTCTGGGAAGAACATCCCAGTCTGAGTCATCTCCCTGTCCTAGATGTTGCCTTTAACCTGAGGATGCAAGCCATTGATGATCAGAGGTTTGGTTTTGAACATATTAAGACATCCATATTAAATGCCCCAATAAAAATTGTTGAGTAGGTTGGATAATTATGGAAAATAGTTGGATAATTATGGAAAAGAGACCAGGCTATTTATCTTCAACTACATAATTTTGGAGTCGTTGGTTTGCAGATGATACATAAAGTTCCCAACCAAAGGAGACCACCGAGGAATTGAGTGTAGATGGAAGTCTACGTGCCCTCAATTCCAGCTTGTGGCCTCCCTCTCATCCACACCCCCACCTCCCACTGAAACCAACTAGTGTGTTACAATTCAGCTCAGTTCTTACACTGCTAAGAGAGAGCACACGATCCCACAGTTAAGGACTTGGTCCAGTATACTAGCCCCTGCCCCTGCAACTTCAGAGGCTGATGGGAAATACAGGTAGTCAGTCACTTGTACTTCGGCCTGATTGGTTTATTATAAAGCAATATAAATAACTCAGGAACAGCCAGATGGAGGAGATGCAAAGAGCAGGGTGCAGGGAAAGAATGTGCTTCCTCCCTAAGCATGGCACTCTTCTGAGATTGTCCTGTGTTCACCAGCCTGGAAGCACACTAAAATCCCTCTTCAGGGGTTTCTATAGAGATTGTTTTACATAAAGATGATTAATTCATTGGCCGTTGATACTTGATTCAGCCTCTAGGAGGAGGGGCTGACAGTTTCAATCTTCTGGCCACTTGTTGGTTCTACTAGTACCAGTCCCTATCCTTAGATCCATGTCATCTCATTATAACAAAAGGTGTATTCTCATTCAGGAATGAGAGATTTAGGGCTCTGGATCATTGGATGACTAAAAGTCAATCATGATAGCTTTGTAATTATTTCACGGTGATTCAATAAAAAAAAAATTGGGAAAGAAATAGAATATTTGTTTCTTACTATGAATCACATTATCATCAAAGAAGAGATCCAAGGGTTAGAATTTAGAACATTCTATATTTAGAGATGGGAAAAACAAGGAACCAGGGAAAGAGACTGAAAAAATGCAAAGTAGGAGATGGGAGTCGAGTATTTCAAGGAAGAAATTGTGTTAGCTGCTGGAAAAGTAAGAGAAATACCAAGGATTGCTATATGTAACGACAGTGAGTCACTAGTAATATTTAATGAGGGTGGGTTTGTGAGCTGTTTGAAAAAAATAAAGCCTGACTGATGAAGAATTAAGAGAAAATTGAGGGAGACGTAGAGATGGTGAGCAAAGACAAATCCGTTGTATTATTAGGAGAAAGCGCTGTACACAGTGTCTGTAGCTTTAAAGGAGGAGTTATTTTTGTTTTTTTAAAAAATGGAACTGAACCAGTAGTGAGGGAATATATTTATTTGCCACTGCATCAGAGAAGAGATAATTGCTGGAGCAATTCCCTTGACTAAGGGGAAGGAAGTTGGGAGCTAGAATATGGGGGGGAAGCTGGCCCTGGTTAGATCCTGTCATACAGCGTGGACCAGTTTATCCATAATCATTGACAAGATTCCACAATAAAGCGATCAGTGATCTGGCAGAAGTTGAGAGTTTTTTCTAATAATGTAACTAGAATTATATATAGTAGAAGACCTTTGACACTCATCCACCTATAAATGCTGGCACATCTGTAAAATCAAAGAGTGAGTCATTGTCTCTTTCCTCTATGTTCCAGCCCAACTGTATTACCTGTAACTCTTCCTTACATTTGTTTACATGTGTCTCCCCCATTATTTGATTATTGGTACCTTGATTCCACTCAACTCTTTCTTCGTTATAGTGTTTTCATTCATTGCTACATGCCTAAATAAAGTTGTCTATTGGTGTATAACAAATTACTCCAAAACTTAGTGGCTCAGAACAACATTCATTATCTCAGAGTGGGTCAGGAATGCAGACTTAGGTGGGTCTCTTATGCAGGGACAATCAATGTATTGATTGGGCCTGCAGGCTCATCTGAAAGCTTGCTATGGAAAGATCCACTTCCTAGCTTACTCACTTGGTATTTGGCAGGATTCATTTCCTTATTGGGCTGTTGGCCAGAGGTCTGCCTTGGTTCCTTGCCACATAGCCTGCTCCATAGAGCAGCGCTCTCAGAGTGAGTAAGCCAGTGAACAAGTAAGAGTGCCAGCGACAGGGGATGCTATCAGAGAGCCGAATTTTTGTCACCTAGCCAGAGATGTGCTTTCCATCGCTTTTGCCCTCTCGTGAGCCTTGGAGGCAAGTCATTAGGCAGAACCCACACTCACAGAGCACAGCAGGGACGCAGTTTATAATCCCGCTGCCCAGTTCCCAAACTGGGTAAAATGCCTAGCTTGTTGAGTGAATTTGCAACTCTATTAATTGGTAGCATATATTTGTAAGAATTCAGTTTGAGTTATGATTTCAGTTTGTTTTTCAAACTGAATTCAAGGGTGAGAATTCATTTTGAGACCACCAAATTGTGTATTGCTATTCTGAGGTTCAGATTATCAAGCTTAATTTTTGTTTTTGGTAACAGTTTAAATATTGAAACTTTAGGAAAAAAACTAATGAATCTAATCCCAAACTTGTAATATATTAAATATTGGAAATAACTTGTTCCACCTTATCTTTTCATAGATGAGGGCCTTGCTCTGCAATGATGTACCAGAGTCATGGGTGGCAGAGCCAGTACCATAAGCCAGA